GTCCCTCCTACGCTAATGACACCCGCGCCCTCATTGGCCCCAGCCACAGCTCCACACCTGTTTCTGGGCCTTTGGACCACTCGTCACCTAAGGGCCCCTGGGACAGGACGCTCCCAGACCAGGCCATTGCCCAGACCCAACACCAGAGTCAGGAGGACACACCTACTGCTGCACCATCAATCCCGGGCCTCACTCCAACTGCCTCCAGAGAGAGAATGTGCAGCATTCGCAGAGCCTCTTCCGTACATGACATGGAAGGCTTTGGGTCCAACTCTAAGGTGGCATTCAGGGACAGACATGCCAGTGAAGGTAGGAATCTTCTGCTTAAAGCTGTAAAGCTTTATTGTAATATCACAAAAATACTACAAATGTGGTTGATGTTGATCTAGTTGTACTTTATCTCATGGCAGGTATCTGTGGCTTTATGTAGCAAAACCACTGTTTTTTAAGGGATGACAGCCATTAAAGAGTCAGATGTGGTCAATACCTGAATTAGACTAATGAAAGAAGTTATTTCTCATGACACATGTTCACTACAGTTTGGCTGTATTAAGTACCAATCGTTCTGTGGTCCCAAAATAGGAGACGCAAGATGTGGCATGCCGGTTTCATAATCAGTATTATAGTGAGTTATCATCTATAGTTTGTGCTATTGATCTTCTTGTGGGTCTAAACCACACATTAGCCTTTTGGCCCTCATTTGGATGAGAGTCCCAGACTGGCCCGGTTTTGTCCAGGCCAATCAGTTGGCCTTCATTTTTTTTTTATCGCCAGTCCTCATTCAAGTAGCTGAGAGTTGCTGACACTATATCTACTTCACTAAAATAAATTTCTCATGGGAATGTAGTGAGAACTTAATGTCAGCACCCATTTGTCATCATACAAAACTAGAAATTCTTCTCTCACCTCCACTCCCCTTTTTCTTCCTTCTCCGACACTGTGCTGCTGCCATCGCAGACAATGGTCGCCATATCAAAGGTAACAAACAATAGCCTGCTGCATCTTGAGTTGTATATTTTACTACTAGATAATACATGTATACTGCACAGAGCCTGCTTGCTGCACGAGTTTTCCACATCACTGAGGTTTATGTGGGATGCAATCACCTTGGTGGATGAGAGACAGCATGTTTGTAAGTTCTTGAACCGGTGCCTCAAAACACTGGCACAGCACTAAATGAGTTGGTCTCAGTGCACATGCCCCGCTGAACCCTAGCCAGTTGCCCAGGGGGAAGGCTCAGCTAAAAAAAATACCACACACTGACCTGTGCATGTGCTTGCATGAAGTAACACACGACACAATCCTCTCTCCTGCTTTTGTTCATTGAAGAAAATCACTGGGGCTTCATGAGATGATACCTCCCACTATCTGTAACCTCTGTTTTCTTCCATGTGCCCTCTGGTTCCTTGTTGCCAAGTTTTAGTGAATGAAAAGAAACCTGACTGTGTTTCTGCTTGGATTCTATATGCTCATCTTTTTCTCTTATTAAGTGCAGTGGTGCTTATACAGCGTTCATTTCACAGTACATATTGTGACTTCCTCAACACCAGAAATCATCACTGTTTCTTTAGTGTTGTTTATTTACACCTAATGCATTAATGGTATTTGGATCACTCTAACAGTAATATTTTGTAATATTAGTATCAGACATTAACTTTTCAAATCTCTAAAGGTCTGCTCTCCAAACCAAAAATGTGCTCTCTATCCTGATAAATGCCTTAATACAATATTTGAAGTAATGATGTTTGTATCCTTGACTACTGCCCCTGCAGTCCAGCCACCCATCCATAATTCCACTTTCTCCTTTACCACTAATATCTTCTCTTTACTGGTTTGTTAGAGTCTTGCTCCTGGATGGCTGGGGGTATGGCTTCAGCTTTTTTCTATATCCATTCAGTTTTTTATGACTGCAATGATGTATCCTTACTGTGGCATGTAATCTCTCATCTTCAGCTGCCTCTCTGTCCTTGACTCTGAATCACTGTGCTGAAAAGAGGGAATAAATAGTGTGACCTTCCTGTGCTGGCTCACACAATGGAATCAGCAATTCTCTCATTCACTTTTTATCACTCTCATTGGGCCAGGTCTCAGCGTGTGTAGTGCTGTCACATATTGTTGCAGTGTTGGGTGCACTCATAAGAAGCCAGGGAATAAATGTCTGAGAGTCTGATTTTATGATACTGTGAACATTTAGTAGAATAATGAGGGAATGTTTTGCTAATTCGGTAACACCTTCATTATGTGTCCAAACTCCATCAGACAGACAGGTTACTGGACTGTGTGAAGTTTTTTTCTCTGATCGTGCGTAGAATCATTCTTTTCTTTCACAGACAGTGTTGTTCATTATCTTTTAATGAGAAACTTTGAAAGGCCTGTTCATCCTAGACTGGTCAATGAGAGGGTGTGGAGTTTGTATTTCAGTATCTTGTTGTATTCTCTGTGTTGTGTTGTGATTGAGCTCACTCCAAAAGTAAGGGCCACTCCATATTCACTACACATGTCACAACAATCAGCTGAATACTTTACTGGTCTCTGATGTCCTCAATTCACAGAACCTATTAGATCAACAATAGCCTAGCCATAGTACAAGCTGTGGCAACTTTACTGTTGACATCCTCCCTCTCACTTTACCCTTTCAGGGCCACTCAGCCAGATCAAATCCAGTCTGCTCGGCTCCACCTCCGACTCCAACCTCAACAAGTACAGCACAATCAACAAAATCCCCCTCATCACGCTCAACTTCTCTGAGGCCACCAACGAAAAGAAGTGCCCCTCGCCTCCGTCCTCAGAGAAAACCATCATCGCCCCGAAAGTCAAGGACCGCACACACAACGTCACAGACAAGGTTACACAGGTGAGACGCTAACCAAGCATGAAAACATAAAACAATCTTCTTCACCAAAATCGGTTGAAAAGTTAAGGATAATCACCTTTATTGGCCAAGTATGTTACACACACAAGGAATTTGTTTCTGGTACAGAACTGAGGCAGCCATCTGCGGCACCAACTCAATCAATGGCTCTAGCCATCGGGGGCAACAGGGGGGGTTCAGTGTTTTGCCCAAGGACACCTCAACATGTGGACTGCAGGCACCGAGATTCGAACCTTCAACCTTTCAGTTGGAAGATGACTGCTCTACCCACCACACCACTGTCACCTCCCCTAGTTTCTGATTTAGTGAAAAATCCTTGGAGCCTTTTGTTCATATGGAAACTGCTCTACTGCCATCCCCTTACCAACTGCTAATTTACGACATATACAGTATTTTAAAGCCATGTGTAGGATAAAATGTACTGTTTTTTGCTAAATAAATATTAACATTAAGTACTTTAACCCTTTAGCCCTCATTTACTAATGGGAAAAATATCTGCCCTCAGAAACAATCTTAAAACAGTATGCTTTAAAAATGAATATTGTTTTTGAATGTACAAAACACGTAGGCTTTCATTTCAACTGCACCTTTAAAAGTCAGCCCACCAATGAACAGTACTAACCATCTGCTATTAAGTTCTTTGTCATGGGTTAATATGGGTTCTTTGCTGTTGTCAGAGACTAAAAATAGAAAACACTTAAGCGTAATAATAGTAAACTTAGTTCTGGACACGTATAGTTTGCATTTATAAACTGTTTATTGCACCAATCATTTGTTGACCATCTGATGTTTGGCAAACTGGAGTGGAAAGATTCAACATTAATATTCATCACATCATTGATGAATGACTACCGTCATCACAAATCACACTTGAACAGCTTGAGCAGCCGTTGCAGTCACCAGATTCCGTTGTCACCCCTGCCCTTCCTCCCCCCTCCCCCCTCAGGGTGGTTAACTGAAACTCATAGGTTCTGATACGTCAAACAGCAGCGGTGTCTGTCACTTGTAGTAGATAATCAGGGATACTCTTACTCCTGCCAGACAGCATTCAGAGCTCAGGCCATATTTCTAGAGTTACGGACTGGGTAAGAGATCATCCTCACATTCCCTGTGAGGGCTAAGATGCAGCACAGTGTACACAGGGACTGTAGGTTAATGTATTCCTAGGAGTGGGTCAGAGCTGCCCTAAACCACTAATTAAGTCTCAGTTTTGCATTTCACCCATTAATGGTGAAACGAATAGAAGACACAGAAACTGACCCCTGTTTGCACTAAAAGGCAGCTTCAATGGCAGGCTTTAGACTCGAGCCAGAGGCAGAGACAGACTACAGTGCATCACACCAACCTCTCTGCCCAGCATTAAAGTTATTTAGCTGCAGAGAGAGCAGGCCTATTATTGTGGTGTTAATAAACTTCTGTACCATGTTGCACAGTAGTTTAGTTTTGTTTCTCCCATGTTCCTTGTCACTACCTCCTTCTTTTACTGAACACATGGCATTGAGCACAGAGTGCCATCTCTGTTTTTGGCTAACTACATGCTGTTAAAATGATCATAGTAACAAATGGGCATGGGGGTGTGCCATATCTTTCTAAACCTTACCTCTGTAAACAGTTCTCTAGACACCTGACTGCAAGGAACACAAAGCAACAGCAGATGTCTTGAAATCAGCTCAATCCTCCTGAGCTGATTTGAAGCCATGATCAGGGTGTGTGAGCAGACACTCTCTCATGGCCTTGGCTCCCTCCTAGCTCCCACAGGCAGGTGGAGGGTTCATCCAGGAAGCTGATCAGCACACTCACATGGTGCTTTAGACATCTCTTACATGAGACTCCAATTCCCAGCACCTCCCTTTAATATCTCGATGCAAACGTCTTTGGGTTATTTCAGTCTGAATGTGGAATTAAACCAGTGGTATGTGCAGCATTTTTAATGATGGAAGCCACGTGATTACCTTCAGGAACATGAAACAGCACTTTGTTCTCATAAATAATGCCCAGGCTTTGACGGTGCAGCCCAAAGAACCAGAGAAGGGGAGAAATCTGTTTGAAGCCTTGCATTACCCCACAAATGTTCATTTGCACCAAGTGCACATAGCTACAGAAGGTAGGTGTAATAATTAAAATGGGATATTTTATTTAGAAATGCTAAAACACATTCATCAAGCTTGTTCAGCCTCCCAGCCAGGTGTCCTCACAGGCTGTGAGGGGTACTGTGTTCACACTGAGCTGAGCTGCCATCTTGTTTTTATCGTCACTGTTCACCACACTTAATAACACAACAGTTTTTGTACAACATGTTGAAATACATAGTTGCTAGATGTATTTTTTAAATTCAATTTTCAAACAGAAATCAATATATGAAGACAAAAATTGAAGCAACAGCAGTCACATGCTGACTTGTAACTGTAATGAAACTGGCATTTGAAACATTTGCTTTTAATGAAGTGGCAGCTTGATGAATAATAGAACACATTCCCTTTGTCTGTCCTTTCGTTTCTGATCGATTTCAAAGGTTATCCCATATCAGAGGTTAAAAGCATTTGGCCCTCTCCATCACACAAAGGGCAGGAGTTTCTAATAACCAATTTAATTATTAACACTTAAGCTCTTTTCTCACGCCATATATCATCCTTCTGTTCCCTAGTCCTCTGCTCTTAATAACAGGAGTTATGAAGGTGACCAGGCCACAGATAAGGGGACACACAATAAGTGATGGATGCCAAAATAGTCATTTAAGATTCTTCTTTCTGTTCCATTCTTATGCTGAGTAGCAATCATTGTCGCTCTGCCCTTGCAGCTCATGTATTCTACCTGCCTCGCTTTCTTTGCGTTCCCCTCTTAGAGCTACAATAATCAGCAGTGAAAGAGCCTGAAAAATTTTTGCTCTTGAAGTGTCAGGCACTTTGATGAATAGATGCATCCTCTGCCTGCACCTATAATTATCTTAAAGTCATTGAGACTCTTATCTGAAATGGTCTATGACGCTGCTATATTATTGATTTGCATATATATATAACTGCACAACAGAGATAATTTTAGTGACATCCTGGCTTGCTAGAATGGATTTCAGCTTCAAAACTGCCTGTTTTTTTTTCTTTTTCTAGAGACAATTAATGGTTTTCTTTTTTATTTTATTTTTAACCTGGAACAGTTTTATCATTTTTTCAGATGCTATATTAAGTTATGTAGAACTTCCTGGATCTTTTTATCTCACATGTGAGCATGATAAAAGATTTTTATTCCTACAACTGTCATGATCCTGCCCCGTCCCCTTCCGGTATCCTGCTTTTACTCTGATACCACTTCCTGTCACCAGCTCATCCTAAACCCCGGTAACTTCATCTCATCAAACACACTGTTTTCACCTACCACTAATCACCCACACCTGTTCACCACAGCATATAGCAGCTCCTCACAGTGTGAGGTAGTGCCAGATTGTTCTATGCATCATCTAGACTCTCCAGCATTATTTCCCTGTGACTGCTTTTCTGGTACCAAAACCTTGCCTGCTCTAACGACCTGTGATCCAGCCTGCTCCCTCTTGCCTGACTGCCATCCTGAGATCAACATCCTGCCTGTTCTACTAGCCTGTGATTCTGCCTTGCCTTCCCTGCTGCCCTGCCGGAGACTTCGACCTTGGACCGTATTAAGTACCACTCTTTTGCCTGATCCCTCAAGACTGTGTGTATTTCTGTTTTGATCACGGAAAGACATTAAAACCTGTTCTACTGCCTCAGCTGACTGGCTCTTTAATTGGGTTCACTGTTCCACCTTCACGGGAGCATCACACCTCTCCCTGACACCCAGAGCAGAATACTATTCTGCCAATTACACGTATGAGGAAAGTGAGGAGATATAGGAATTCTGACTTCCTGTAACACCACCATGAATGTCACTGAAACCTCACAGGGTTATAACTTAACTCCTCCTGGTTTGTAAATCAGACGACCTCCAGTTTTGACCTCTGGTGGCTGTGTGGGGACCTTAAACTTCAACCTAAACTCCCACCTGACCGGCAGGGAGGCTGCGCCCTGGTGCTTATGGCATTCCAAATAGCACCAGCACAGGCATTAGCACTAGGGATCCGGGGGGTCCACGGCCACTTCCTCGCTCCACCGAGCAAAGACACAACTGTGTTATGAAAATGACCGGGTGTACTCTGACGCCATAGGGGTCCCCAGGGGAGTGCCTGATGAGTTTAAAGCCCAAAACCAAATTGCTGCAGGATTTGAATCCTTTTTGATGTGGTGGGTTACAATTAATACAGACGTAGACTGGATCAATTACCTATATTATAACCAACAAAGATTTCTACATTTTCTAGAGATGGATTTAAGGGGACAGCTGGACAACCACTGCCTACTCCACTCATGTCTTGGCAAAACAGAATTGCTCTCGATATGTTAATGTTTAAGGAGGAAGGGGTTTACAGAATGTTTGGATCCACATGCTGCACATTCATACCAAATAACACTGCTGGAAAAGCAGGAGTTGAAGAGGGATGGTGTCAGGTTTGCCCGGCTGCACCTTCCTCTCTTCTCTCTTTCTCGCTCTAGTCTGCTCCTTCTCACTGACTCTCTTGATTAACACACCTGTCCTGATTTTCTGACACTCTTCAGCTGCGCCTCCTTTGTCACTCCCTATTTATACCCGGCTTTACCTTCACTCCCTTGCTGGTTCTTTCTATGTTGTTAGCCTTCGTTTCGTGATGTATTATACCTTTTGTCTCCCGTTTCCACATATGTTCTTAAGTCCTAGCGTCTCCTGTTGTATCACCTGGACCTCTCCTCTGGACCTTGGCTCCCTCAGCTCCACCAACCTCTTTCACAGGTCGATGCACAGTCTCCTCATTCATACCACTCTCTGTTACTCCTCAGTCAACCGGATCACCACCTTGACCAGCTCAGGAGTGTCGCCTTCCCTTGCAGCCCGACCTCATCACTCCATGGACAATAACCCCTTCACTAATGCTGGTCATCACCCGGTGATATTCATTCATTCATTCTATTTTGTTGTATATAAGTATTGCACCCCTGTTTTAGCACTGTAAATAAATCCACCTACTGCACCGAAGCCAGCCGCCTGGGTCTGTTCATTTCTGCTCGCTCATTATTGTGTCGAGCGATCCTAATAAATATCATTTCATCATTTCATAAAAAAAGTGTCTGATTAAAAAAACGTGGATCATATAATAGTATAAAATTTTAAAAAGACATGAGCCATGTTTACTTTTTAATATCATTTGTTCCTCATACCTTACAGTAGATACTACACATAGATTTACATATACTGTATTATTATACATTAGTAAAATATACAGTTACTGCAAATTCCTTTGTACAACACAGTAGATTGTTAATGTGCTTTTTTTAAACAGTTTCACCCATGGACTGCACTGTGAATAAACATAAAGGAATCTGCTTTGAACTGTCATAGAAAAATAAAAAAAGTTTAATAATGAACTCTGATGTGATTCTGGTATGAAAGCACTGTATTGTCCATGCAGATATGTATCCAGTGTAAAACAAGCCTCATATATATTTTTTCAACAAACCTATGCTCTTCCACTGTGAAATTCAACTGAAAGCTATTTTACTATATACAGCACTCTGAGTTGTCTTTTTCACTTGCTTTTAAAGGACAGCGCAACATGTCATGACAGCCATGACTACTGGCCAAGGTCTAAAGGGAATTGACACACTTTTTTCTCTTTGTCTGTTCAGCTATATAATTTTTTTCTGACTCTTTGTATCTGCTGCAATAGTATCTCCATGTGTAGCCAACAATGCCTGACTGGAGAAATCATGTACTTGCTCTTTACCTCCCATGAGACCCATCTCAAAGAAAAACCACCTATGAATTTCTAGACCCCAGTTCCAAAGTTACAATAAGAACTTTCTAGCACCCGTCTGGGTTGTGTGACAAAGTCTGTCCACTTGACAAAGCATGTACTGTATCTCACAGACACAAGTATTAATTGTACATTTGGTTATGCCACTCCTCCCTCAGTTGTTTTTTTTTCTCACAGTACACGTATATATGTGATCTTTGAGTGTGTACCTAGATAGTTTTTGGCCAGGCACTTGTACGTGCCAGAGTCTGAGGCTGTGGGTCTCTGAATGATAAGTGTACCCTGAGGGTAGAGCAGTTCACTACCCTTAGACCAGCCCTGTTCTGCTGTTGAAAGAACTGAATGATTGGGCAGCTCCCAGGTGATCTCTGGCCTGGGGATCCCAATGGCAGCACAGTTGAGCTGGATAGGTCTTCCGGTCATTGCTCTCAAAATGGGAGGCGGTCCAGTTGTGATCCGTGGAGGGTAGCCAGTGATAATAACAGGGACACTAAGCACAGCCTCCCCAGCATCGTTTTGAGCCCTGCAAATGTAGGTGCCTCGGTCGTGGAGAGTAGTATCTTGAACAACCAAAGTGCCATTCTCTAGTAACTGGTAGCGCCCAATTACTTGAGGCCGAGTAAGAGTGTGGCCACCAGGAATGGTCCAGTGGATCCTGGGTCTGGGGCTCCCATCAGATAGACAGTGAAGGAAGAGAGGTTCTCCAGAGACACTACGTATGATGCCCCTAGGCCTTGTCAAGATGTAAGGCTTCTGTCCAACATCCAAAATTATTAGCTTCTCTATGTAGCCCAAAAGATTCTTGGCACCACAGCGATACTTCCCAGCATCCTCTTTGCGAGGGTTGTAAATAACTAAAGTCCCATCATTGCCAATCTGGTGATGAGAGCCATGGTCAGGTCGACTAGTAAGCAGTGTTCCATTAGGCAAAGTCCAAATGATTTCCGGCATTGGGTGTCCATCAGCAGAGCAGTTCAGGGCTGTGGTTTTCCCAATCCGAGACAAAATGCGTTCATTGAAGGGGTTCTTGAATATTGGCCTTTGAAGCATGCGAGTCACCTCCAGCTGCACAACCATTACTGCCTCTCCTCCATCATTCCTCGCCATGCAAATGAACTCTGCTGTATCAGATGGCCGCACGTTACGAATCTCCAATGTCCCATTATAATGGACATTAATCCTGCTGCCAAAGTATGGTGCTGTCAGGAGGATGTTATCAGGCATAATCCAAGTGACAGTAGGAGCAGGATCACCCTCAGCCTTACAGTCTATAAATTTTTTGGAGTATTTAGCAGCTACATCTTTGATCACAGTTCTGTTCTGGTGGTAGCCATTGATCACTGGTGGATTTCCATCTATATCAAGCTTGTAGACCTTTCTGTCTTCCCCGCTAGGGTTGCGTGCCATACAGACATACTCCCCAGTATCAATAAGCTTTACATCCCTGATATCCAGAGATCCATTGACATGTATTAGATAGCGTTCATTTGATGCTGCGATTACATCATTGTTAGGCAATATCCACAGGATCTTGGGTTTGGGTTCTCCAAGTGCTTCACAGTCAAAGCGGATGTTCCCTCCAGGCTTCATCCTGGCATAGGTCTGGCTAGGTGGATGTATCCTGGGAGCCGCAGTCACCACAGTGATATGTACATGCATCTCATCCTTGCCCACCTGGTTCTCAGCATAGCAAGTGTAGTCCCCTTCCTCTGACATACCAACCTGGAGAAACATAACACTCATGTAAAACTTGAGTATGTTTTTATATGTCTTGTGGACGTTTGAGGTTAATGCAGTAACATACCTGGTTAAGGTAAAGAGTTCCATTGTTAAAAAGAGTATAGCGCCGTGCTCGTCCTCGTCCACTGCTGGTGTCAGACTGCAAAGCGCTGTTGACCACTGTACCATCTGGTAGACCCCAGGAGATCTCTGGTTTTGGTGCTCCTGAAGCTTTACAGTCAACTTTTAAGTCATTACCATAGCGTACCTGCTTTTTGCCATAGAGCTTAGGCTCTATCTTGGCTGGCTTCATGGACACAGTGACCTTCATGAGCTGGAGATCGTCGCCAATCTTGTTTTGTGCCACACAGAGATAGTTGCCAGTATCTTTATCACTCACAGTGTTAACAATAAGAGTTCCATTATCTAGGACACGGATTCTGCTACCCATCCTGGAGAAAAAGATAACATTAAATGAAAGTGAGTTAGCATGAGTGCAATAGAAAAAAACCTGATCAACTACAAGCAGGTCCATTTACTATGGTGCAAGGCAAATGGCACATATAGTATAAAACTGCAACTAAGTATTGTACTGTACATGTTGTCACTGTTGATAACCTGTACCGCTTGTACAGTTGTTAAAACATTATAAGTCAGTGTTTAGAGAATTTGCCAAATACTGTAATTCCTAAGCCATTTACTGCATTAAAATAAAGGGAAATGGTAAAAAAAAAAAAAAAAAAATCAAACAAGCAAACAAAAAAGGAAAACAGCTCAAACAAGAACACTGTGACTGCAATGATGGCAAAAAAATTTTAATAAAAAAAAAACTATCAGTAGAAAGTTGAATTATATTTTAGCCCTGAGAGCTCAACACACTGCAACATAAGAAGACAACGTCACAGAGTTAACATTTACAAAAAAAAGTATCTACATTTAGAAAACAATCCAATACAGAAGTTTCTGTTTTTAATTGTGTTTTTTGAATTTGTTGCACGTTTTTGTATTTAGTTGTTTTCTCATTTTGCAGTTCATTTAATGTCAAATTGATGCTTTTTGGTGATGTGTTTTTTTTCTTTGCTTTCTCTATGTCCATATTTCTTACAGTGCAGTATGTTGAGCTATCAGGGCCACTGTATGAATCCTCTTGGGAAGCAGCGTGATGTTTTACAGTATGAACTTAACAGTAAACCGAGCCAAGGCACAAACATTGCACTTCCGTGTGTTTCTTAAAAATATTAAGCTTTCTGCTTCTTTTACCTGTGCCACTGGTCTACCACAGCTTTAGATGGGAGCCTCCAGATGATCCTAGGTTTGGGGTCTCCTGTTGCTAAACAGTTGAGTGTCAACTGATCCCCAAAGGACAACTCTGTCATGCGCTGAGATGTCTCTATTATCTGAGGTGAAGACTCCTGGCTCTCTACTGTCAGAGTCACCACCCTTCGCTCTGAGCCAGTAGAGCTGGTAGCAATACATTCATATTTCCGGTTGTCTGCTAGAGTCACATGCTTAATGTGGAGGGTTCCATTTTCATACACAGAAATCCTTGTGTCACCGGCAGCTCTGTTAAATTGTACCACTGACCTATTATCAAGGACCCAGTGAATAGTAGGCCGGGGGCTGCCTTGGCCAGTGCAGGGTAGCCACAGGTTTTGGCCTACACTAGCTTTCAGCTGCTGCCGTTTTTCCTCCATGATGCCTGGTGGAGCTGCCACCACCTGCAGTCGAACTGTAGCAGTATCAGCTCCAGCTGAATTACTGGCAATGCATCTGTAATGGCCTCTGTCATAAACAGACACATGCTCAATGACCAGAGTCCCATCATCAGATACTGATACCCTTCCCTTCTCTTTGTTTTGACCCCTGACTTGGGTCCTGTTGGCCAGGATCCAGGATATCACGGGCGTCGGTCGACCCTCTGTTTTACATTTCATCTCTACAGTGTTTCCTGCATGAGAATTTATCTCTCGGATTTTTGGCTCTAGGATACGTGAGGGGTAGGCCACCACAGAGAGCGTGACAAGAAGTTTGTCTGAGCCATGATTGTTCTCTGCTAGGCAGAGGTACTGGCCACGATCTTTAATGTTGGCATTATGGATGAACAGCGTGCCATTGCTCAACACCTCTAACTTGCCCATTCTCACCATTATGGTAACTGCACTTCCTGAAGAACACAGAAAGACAATTTCTTCTAAGAAGCATTCAAATTATTAAAAACACACAAAAACAATATACAGTACACAGATAAAGCCTCAAAACAAAAACTAAAACGATTAGAAGTACTGTTACTTTAAATGTCCATTTCTGCTGCCTCTTGCTTTTCTTTATGTTGCTAATATGTTTTTAAAAATAGCATAAAACACACACACAATAAACACCATATAGTAAATTCAAATCAGGCAATACATACAGTAACTGCTTAAGACAATGTCACAGCTACTCACAGCTATACTCTTTTGTCAAAACTGCATGGTTCTCCCTGCTCTATCACTGCTAGATATACAGCTGTACCTGAAAATAAACAATGCAGTTTTTGCATGGCTTTTAACAAATTTTACCCCACCCCTAAACCTTTTCTACACATTTAGTTTTTCTTAATGATAACACAAAATTATTTTGTACCTGTGTTTGAGGAGAAGCGTTTCCAGGTTATCCTGGGCTGGGGGTTTCCAACAGCCTCACATGGCAGGAGAGCATCTGAGTTGGACAAAACGGTAAAGCTGGCAGCATTGCCCCCAACTATCTTAGGTCTGTTTGTCCAGTTTGTTTGAACCCCCAGTGTAGTGGGTTCAAAGCCAGCGGGACTGGCAGTGGCATGAGTATAAGCATTAGAGATGGTGTTGTGTGTGCCTATGTTGTTGTATGGTGCAGGGGTGTTGGTGTATTCTTGCTTAGTTGTAAAGATGGTCATTGTGTCAAAGGTATGGCCTTTAATTACCCTGTCTCTGGCAGCACCGTCTTGCAGAGTAGGTCTGATTCTCACCGGTGGCCTGCGAGTAGTGTGACCACTGTCCCTGTGTGTTGGTGGTTTGAAGTTGCTGTTGTATCTGGTCTGAGCTGTTGTATAAGACCCTTTTGTGATAGTTGGGTTCAAAGTGGTTTTACGGTTATCTGTGGTTGAGGCAATCAAAGGTGTCTTGGTTGCACTGTAGGTTGGTAAACTGCTAGATATGCTCCAGTCAAGTTCCTCATATATGTCTGTCTCCTCCTTTGATGTTTGATCGGTGTAATCTGCTCCTGAGGTTCTGTCCTCTTTCCTAGATGGCATGAGCAGGGGTTTGTGGAGAGAAACAGTCTGCTGATGTAGCGTGGTTGTCTCCATTGTAGTTTTCATAGTTGCTGCCTCTGTAGTTGAAGCTTCAGTTATAGCAGCAGGAAGTACTTTGGTGATTCCGGGTATCTTGTTAGGTCTCCTGCCCCTAAAGGGCCTCTTTCTCTGCCCTTGCCGTCCTCTGGTCCCATCAGGCCTCTGTCTTATTACAAACCAATTATCAGGGAATCCTCCAGACCCAGATGATAAAGCTTCATCAGGATCTTCAATTGAGGGTAGTTTGACAGTAGGTGGGGAGGGGAGAGTCTGTGATTCTGGTGGTGATTCAGTAGTAAGGGAGGACCTGAAGTAATAGGATGAACTTGTGGTAGTTATAGGGTGAAAGCTGGGACCCAGTGTTGTGAAGTCAAAATCTGCAGAGGTTAAATCTTCATAGTCATCATCTAATGAGTTTTCCTTGCTCTCAGTGTGTCTGGATGGGGAACGAGTCCTTGGTTCAACCAGGGAGTTTGCATAGGTGGGGGTGGTAGTAGGGGTTGTGGTTAGGGTCACTGCTGTCGATTCAGCTGTAGTTGAAATTTTCCGGTTGACAAATGGCCTCCTTACTCTTCCCACTATCTTTTCCCCTTCTCTGCCTCCGAACAGTCTGTTCCATGGAATTCTTTCATGAATGACTTTAGAGGTGGTTATAGTAGTGGTCATAGTGGAGACTGATGGTTCTTTTTCTGTGGTCAGAAATTGATTGACTGTAGGGGCATCAACAGAGGTTGTGTAGCCACTGGAAACCTCAGACTTAGTGTGGGTGAAAGAGGCAGGTCTCACTGTTCTATATAATGATGAACTGGAGGAAGCTGTGGTAACCTGCATATCAGTGGATGCTGCCTTCTTTTTGTCTTCATTACAGTCACAGACTGAGAGAAAAATAAAAAAACATGAGGAGCAAAACAGATAAAATTTGAGCTATAGAAGCATGCACTTAAAATGATGGAAATCTGCTTACAAAATAATGTTATTGTATTTACCTGTGGTTAGTTCAATTTGATATGGCACAGATGTAGTCCTTTCTTTCTTCACTGGGGGCTGCTTACGTTTATTGATGAAGGACTGTATGTCAGTAATCCTGTTGGGTTTAATGATCCTCCTGCGACCTTTGACAGTCCTCCGGCGATCCGCACCTCTGCCATTCTTGTGTGGGATGATATGGATCTGCTGTCGGGAGATGATGGTGGATCCTCCAGGCAGGCGTGGTGATTTGATTGTTTGGGTAGTGTGGAAGGTGATCTCGTCCTGCTGTAGCTCTGTGGTGGCGACAGCTGTCAGTGTGGTCTGGCTTTCTGGGTCTGTGTGGATGACCAGTTCCACTGGGCCCAGTCCATCCCTCATTACAGTAATATTAGGGAATGTGGTAAATGAAAGTGCCACTCCTGTGGAAGTCTCTGGCTCTGAAGGTTGTTCCCCTGAGAACTGGAGCTGAGTTTCATGTGAAGTGTCAGTCACAGTAAGCTGCAGAGTGGCTGGGTGCACATTTAAGGGTGGCTTTCTGGTTCTTTCCGGGGCATAAAACTCTGATGTCTCAACAAAAGTTGGATCGTGTGTGAATGCAGACTTGACTGGTGTAGAGTCTGACTGCATATATGAGTCTGTGGTTTGTGTGCTAATGTTTTTTGTTATTTTACTTAAATCAATGTGATTGCTAACTATTGTTTCCATGCCAACAATTTGACGCACTGCTGTTGTTTCTAAAATATCACCTACCTGTGTGGTTGTTTTTATTTCTGTCTGACTGTCTTGCTCAAATGTTCTTTCTTGTGGATTATCTGAAGATGGTTTGACTGTCCCTGGCACAGTGATGAAATAGTCCTCATTATGATCCTCACCAGAGCCATTTTCACCTTCACCAGGACTGGTGTGTGAATCTTCATAATTCAACCTGTCTTTCTCTGTGTCACTCTTTATTTTTAATCCATCTTGAGCTTTTTTCATTAATTCAGCAAATTTCTGGGGGTCTATTTTCCTGGAAGCTTTATTAAAGGCCCTACTGCTCCAGATACGTCTGTTGCTGTCTGGCCCCCTTCTTCTCTGTCCCAGTCTAACTCTAGATCGCCTGCTGCCTTGTGACCTGAATCTGGGGTAAGGTTGATCTGAGGTTATGGTCCTGGATTCCTGACTCGTTCTGTCAGAGGAACGGGAATAGGAGATCTCACTTAGGGTAACTGTCTTTTCTGTTGAACTTTGGTCCACCCTGACATCCATGTCCATCCCTGACCCCTCACTGTCCAAATCTATTACTGTCTCAGGCTGTTCTCCATTTATTGTGACCAGAGACACAAGCATGTCAACTCCTAGGTGATTAGCAACCAAACACCTATAAAACCCTTGATCCCTTGCTGTAAGACCCTGAATCAGCAAGGTTCCATTATCATACACCTTTTTGCTCCCATGAGACTTGTCTAGTACTGAGTGGTCAGGGAGAATCCACTGTATAGAGGCCTCAGGACTTCCTGAGGAGCTACAATCAAAAACCTGATTTTCACCAGGTGGCCTTAACAGTTGGACACCATTGACCTCAGCATCTTCCACATCAGGGGACAGAACTGTCACTCGAAAGGCAAGGACATCTGCATCCAGGTAGTTTGTGGCTATGCACCAGTAGAGGCCTGTGTCAGAAGCATCAGCACCCCTTAGACTGAGCTTCCCTTCAGCAGTGATTACAATCCTTCTGTCCTCGCTGGAGTAAGGAGCTCTGACCTTGCTTCCATCTGGTAAAATCCACTCCAACAAAGGCTTTGGTTCACCTCTCATTAGACAGTCCAATTGCGCCACACCACCTATGTTAAAAATAAAATAAATATTTTATTGCATTAGTTATCACCTTGATTAAAAATGAATTTTTTTAGTCTTTGAATTCTATGGTTTTTATAATGCGCCCTGTTTTTGAAATGCTCAGTTGAATTATATGCATGAAGGCAACATCATTCATCAGCTAGTGTAATAGGCATAAATCTCTAACTCCCACCTGTAAGTACAGCATGCTCGGTCTTGGTTTGGTTGTCTCGCTTGATCATGGTCCATGTATGGCGGTCCCTCTTATGTGATGTGTTTTCCACACGTAGGTTAACCACAGACTGGTATTTAATGTGCAGAGTAGAGAAAGTGGTAGCAGTGCGATCAAGCTGGAAGCTCACTTCTCCCTGCATCAGCCATGCAGGGGAAGCTTTAATTTCAGCCTCAATGTTTGTATGAATTCCTTCTTCTCCCTCCTTTGTTTTCATCTGACTATAGCTGTACACCATCTCTGGGCTTCTGGCCAACATCATACCTCTCTCTAGCCTCATTGGAGAGTCACTGTAGGTGGCCAGGATCTGCCACAGCTGCTGGATGTGTTCACTGTCAACACTGCACACCAAATATGTAGTTACGCTTGCGGTAAGCACGGTGACATTGTTTCCCTTCTCCTCCTCCAAGGTTTGTGCCAGGTTCTCGAAAGCAGATGGTCTCTGGACAGTGCAAGATAGACTGGCATCACTGTAAAACTGGTTAGTCAGGTTCATTTGTATGGAACCTAAAGGAGCAATGAAGTCCTTGGGGGAAACTGGAGTAAAGTCCCCTTCATCCAGGCTTATGTTTTTCTGCTTTAGATGAGGTTTGATCCATGGTTTGGTACAAGTGAATCCATCATTAGGGAGAATGGATAGAGGTTTGTTGTAGTTGGGAGAAGGATTAACACAAACAGGACACAGCTGGCCTCTTGAATTTCCCCTGTCTCGCTTGCATTTCAGCACACCTGCAAACATTTAAATTAAGTGGCGTAGCATTTAGTTGGTTACATGAAAAAAGAACATTTACAGTTTCCACATTATGGGCCAGCCAAACCAACACTGATCAGTAAAATTTGCATACCAGAAACGATCAGCTTCACCATAAAGAATTGTAATTTATGATTTGACTTTTGCATCAGCCAAGTCATGAATAAAGGAATTAACTTGTGTTTTTTGTGTCTTTAGTGTCTTCTTTAGTTCCCATGTTGAGAAGATGAATATACTCTATGTCTGCTTCCAGTAGTGTCGGTACAGAGATTTATGTTTCCTCTGGATATGCTTTTCTTGCTTGGGATAAAATTCTATGCACTACTGATTTGCGGGAGAAAAAACATACCACTTAAGTGGTAAACCTATTAAATTATTAATGTAGCAACCTTACCAGACGTGTCTTATAAAAGCTATGAGCAAACCTTAGATGAGGTTTTTTTCATTTACATGTACACAAGGGAAAATGTTTGGATTAATAAAGTCTCTTTCATTAGGAAAGAAGAGGGGTCTCTACTCTTGTAAACATATTATAACCATACACCTCTCTAAATGCATTCAAACTCTTCCAAAGCAAACACCCACTCCTCACCTGGGTTTCTTTGTACCCACTCTGGGAACCACTGCATACGACAATCACATGCCCATGGGTTGCCATGGAGGAAGACATTCTCCAACTGGCTGCAGCCAGAGAAAATGTCTGCAGGTAGAGTGGCGAGGAAGTTGTCTGACAGGTCGATATGTCTGACCGATGACAACCTGAACACCTGGCTGTGCCTCAGAGTGATGAATGTGTCTGGGTGGAGTTGCTGGAGGTGGTTGCCCTCCAGATGGACTGACTGTAGGTTTGTTAGGCTGTAAAAGGCCTCTGGGCTGATGAACTCAATGTGGTTGTGGTCCACGAAGAGTCTCAACAGACTGTCTAGGCCTCTGAATGTCTCTTTGTTGATTTCCTTTACTTTATTATAGGACATCTTCAGAACCTGTGAGAACATGACTGAGAAGTTAGAAATGTTTGTCAAAAGAAAGTTGACTTAAGACTATTACGTTAAGATGCATCAGTATATTATTGAGGGATACAATGATATGTAGTCAAAAGAGCAGAACAATTTGAAAATAATTTATTTTATCTAAAAAAAGTAAAAACAATCAATTAT